CATTGGATAACATAACCATTTGCTGCAGTACTATTCTCGTATAGAATATTAGGTGTATATTAATAATGCATTTCCCCTCCTCCAGCAGTTCAATGCATTAATAACATATATAAGCTACAGCCTGTTAACTCAACACAGTGACTTTATTTTACTGCCTATAAAGCTGCTTATTTACTTTGGTGATATTGGGTAATTGGTGCTGCTGGTATATTATTGCAAAAAAACTACAAGATTATTGTCTGATACAATATTCGCCACATTCCAAATTTTTTCTTTTGTAGGAAGTTGTTGTTCATACTTTAAAATTTACTTGCAGAAACAGTGTTGATTTGTTAATTTATCTATCGTCTAGCTTCAAACTTGGCCATTGTTTTCATATACCGGTAGCTATACATTGATTAAGAAAAATGTATAGAACTGGAACAGGTGGTTTGAACTAGATATACTGAATGTGTAATTACATGGCCAGTTATTAGATTATATTGTTAAAGCATGGTGTTGTTAGTAACATTAATTTTTTTTTTATTGGATTATAAGGACAGATTAGTTGTTTAAACAACAAAAAACGATAGTATCCCATGATTCCATGGTGCAATACCCAGGATTGAGGAGCCCACACTAGTTAAATTGGTCATTGCATATGAATACAATAAAGATGATTCCACAAACAGACAAATTCTTGTGTGTGATTGAAGTTGTCCAATATTGTGCCTAATATGGAATTATTTATTATGTGTTTTTTGTGCATGATTGTTTTAGCTGCATGGGTCAACTTGTATATTCATCAGTTGTTTCTATACAGTAATATGTATGTAATATGTTTTTCTAATAGGTAAGCCTTGAGTCTGTTCAACCGCTTATTACTGTCACTGGAACAACTGAGATTAAAGAACATGGCAATAATCACCACCCTGTTGAAGAAGTTGGTGCAGGTGGTCTTGTCACCATGGGTACGAATGCAACTGATGAAGAAAAAGACAAGGGCATAGTTGAAAAGAATGTCATGAAAATAGAGAATAATACTTCAATAGATGAAGTAAGTTCTGTTGATGATGTTGCTATGGTTACTACCAATGGATGTGATGTTAGAGCAGTCAGCGATGCACAGCAAGTGAGATGTGGGCATGATGATCAAGTGGTTCCAGTTGTGGTTGAGGTGCCACCCACACCTGATGAAGTGAGTGAGGATATTCCAAGTGATGGTATAACAGATTTACATTCACAGCCGTTAGATATGGTTTCCCCCGTTATAAAAGACACTAGCGACCTTGAAGACCCTATGAATCTGATGTGTGCCACAGACAAATTATTGGAAGAAGCCGGAATACGCCAAATTGTTGGTGACTCGATGTCGCCTCTACCGGTTCATCTACAAGATAGAATAGCTGCTTTCCCGGTTTCACCATTATCCGCTGATCTCCTGGAAGAAGCAGGTGTCCTCACTGAAAATACTTCTGCAGAGACCATGCTTGCTACTCCAAAGGCAAGAAAATGTATGATGGACATCGAAGCTGAGAACAAATGGTCCAAGACAACATTGCTGTTTGAAAGTGAACAATCCAATATGGCCAGGGAGGGGGTGATATTTGATGGAAGCATAGAAGTTGAAGTGATGCCTAATACAGAGTACACAGAATCTGCTATGAAGAGTACTCCACCAGAAGTTGCCATGCCAACAGATAGCGAGAAAACCTAAATTTGACGCATCAAGTACTGGCTGAAGAGCAGACAGTTTCTCACTCGCCCCCCATGATGGATGTATCACCACAGCCTTTTCTTGAAAGCACGTCATCAGTGTCCTCTAACATCCCAGTAGATGCTTTGCAACCAACGTTGACCCCAGTCTTGCAAGCCACGGTCGGAAGATACAAGACCCCTGAACATTTACTTGAGGATGGCCCAGCTACACCTGCCGTCATTGATCACATTATACTTCAGAAGGATGGCTACAATGCTGAAGTTGTTTTGACAACTCCTAACACAGAAATTAAAATAAATGAGAAGTCGCCATTGGTAACTACAGATAAACCGGTGGAATTTCTACAAGAAGTGATAGCAGAGTCAGACCAAGAAGACCAAGAGAAGTTGATCCAACCAAATAAGATGAATTATGATGATGATGATGAGGTGACTTTCAAACCTGATAGATCGAGAGAGGTGAAGTCCGAGGATAAAACCCCAATTTCAGTTACAGAAGCAAGAGCCTCCGAGCAAGCACCACTCTTGGGAGCAGAAAATCAAATTACTGATGAAAATAAATTAGGTCCATCATCGGGATGCTGTAGTGGGTGTGCCATATTGTAAATTCATGTAGGATTTTATTACCCAATCAATTAGACACATTGTTCCTAGTAATATTATATTCCATACAAACTCGTATTAATTCCCACGTATTTTCGTCTGATTGGTTAATTAACACAATACTAATTATCATACTTATAAGTACGAACCATTAAGTATTATGCAACTTTCAAACATCTTTAGGGTTGATCTGATATTTCACATAGTATCATTTTTTTCTTTTTTGTAAAATATGTTTAGTATTGAGGGTACTGTAAATGCATTAATTAATCACTGGGTTTTAATTTTGCTATTTTCACAGATAAGTAAAATCAGATAAAATTAAATGTGTGTGAACATTAAGAAAAACAACAGAACTCATTGTTACTCAGCCAAGTTCACAAACTTAAAACCTGTGAAATTGTTGATAACACCAAAATAGTGAAATTAGATGCCAGTGAAAATAAATGGTTTTACAGTATGGTTTAATTCAGTTGTTGCAGTGTAAATATTATGAATGATTTGATAATATTAGAATTTATTCAATTTAAAAATGCTCCACCTTGTTATAGTGGTACGAAATATGGAATGTGGTTTTGCTAGACTTTCTGAATGCATTTACTAGTACTATGAGGTTATTACAAAGATACCTCAAAGTATGCACGAAGACAGTACAGCGGCAGTATCGACCGACACGCAGCAGAGGTCAATGCGCAGCGTACTATCTGAGTGCATACTTTGAGGTATCTTCGTAATAACCTTATTATTATACATCTTTTATTTATAACTTTGTCTTCAGTGAAAATATGCATTATACATTAACTTTGCAGATTTGCAAGACAACTTTTGTTGGTTGCTTGCTGAGACTTGATGGTCTTCTTTTGTTGCATGCTTGGTAACTTAGAACTTGATCTTCTTAGTGTGCGACTCCGGTGGCTTATGTTTTGTCAGTCAGATTGTCGTTTTGGCTCATAACATATTTTGTCAGTCATAATGTCGTTTTGCATATTAACTCACTACAATTCACTGCCAGTTTTGTATCATACAATTTACACTGCCTTGTTATTTCTTTCAGACCCCCTAGTGTGTATTTATTTCTACTTTGTATTTTGGGAGAGTGACCATGTTTTGTTTTGTTTTGCATTTGTTATTCATACTCCAATCCTAGTGGCAAAAATTCCCCCCCCAAAAAAGAGAAAATTATATAAAAAATATATTGTGGCAGTGTTTCCCTCTTTTATTTTTTGTGATATTAGTCATTTGAATAATAGATTCACAATGGCATAGCTTGGCTTATAGAAAGTGAGTGCATTTTAGTAGTAATTCTAGTATGCAAGTTAAATAGTAAGTCACTTTTAGCAAAAGCTATTCAGCAAATGGGTGAGGGAAACGATACGACTTTGCAGATATTAATTCATATTGAAGGTATTGTACACCATTGAAATGGTCATTGAAGTGTACTATCTCATGGATAACATGAAAAAAAAAAAAATGGTCTCGTGTGCTGTATAAATGCCATTGTGTGAGAAATTCCATCCAAGTACGGTACATATAAGTTTAGTATAAATTATCTGAGAATTCTGTTTCTGAATTATATTTATACTTTGTACAAATAAAATTTTTCTGCTCCTAATTGTATTCATTTACGTTGATTGGGTGTATGATTGCTTTGAGATTGTTTGGTAGCGCTTGTTTGAGAACTCTCCAGTCGGTGCCCCTCCCCCTCAATATTCACTGTGGTAGAAAAATTTGTTCATTGATTCACACAAACATTTGAACTTTTTTTTTCAAGATCTTTTATTTAATTTTTTTTTGCAGCAAAATTGTTAACACCTTCCCAAGGGTCAAAGGAGTGATACATTTGTTTTTGCCCTGAATAGAACAAATATTACATTTCTGAGATCAACTACAAAATTTAACCAATCCCACTCTTGGCCAACACAAACATGTCCATGGTAAAAATTAATAGTGTAGAAGATATTGTCAACCATGCACTTATGGTAACCTACTGTGATCAACCAACATAAGGTGACACTGTAATCGTGCATCATTGTTTGTATTTAAACTTGTTATTCCAACCTAAATTTAGTAGAGTGTAAATTTTCATTCAAGCTTGGTTAAAATATAGCAGAAAAGTAGCAATTTGCTAAAATGCACTTCAACTAAAACTTGTATTATATTGGAACCTCTTGTGTACCGTGTTGCAAGTAATCTACACTCTGTGGTATAATACTACTGGTAATATGCACTGAAGAAAACCTTTCATTGTACAATATATGATCACAGCAGCTGGTTATTTCCCTATGTCATATTTTAACAGACTAGCGTGTGTAAAAACATGCTTGGTTGTACACTGCATCATGAGGATGGGCTACCGACCTGCATAGTTAGGTCATTGATACCCAAATTAACAAAATGCCCCGATTGTGAAATTAATTTGAATCGAAATGGTCTATAACTTGTGCCAATTGATAAGAATCATTGGGTGGAAATATTCAACTACGAGTGAGCTTTGTGCACATTTCTACACCCAGTTTCTGGCAATGCTAGAGCTCTGATTTACTCGATTCACATGGGGATAAAAACCATTTGCCAAGATTAAACACTGAAGGTTTACTCTGCAGCCAATATGCACATTGTGTATCAGAATGGGACAAAACAATTACAGTCTACATTTTCTCATTGGCCATGAATTTGAAATAAATTGCATTGGGGGAGGTTCACTGGTTTATTGCCCATTCCTTTATTAACACTAAGATAGTATGCAGGAGATCTCAATCAAGTGCTGAGCAGTTAGAAGTGGAATTATAATGAAATTCAATATAAAAAGACCCTTGGAAATTTTCAACATTATTTAAAATAGAGTACTGTTTGACAAAAAGCATTCATTCAACAAATTTATATGTACATAGAAACTATGACGAGGGATAAATAATCACTAACTCAAACAATAAGTACAGTAAAATCTGTATTAAAAACCGCAGCTTCTAATAAAATGGTACAATGCAACAGAGGGGATGCAACTTCTATTAGAGCATCTACACATATGAGAAATGGTGTATTTTTTTTGTTCTAAATTGTTCAAAAAGAATGGGTGCAGCTTCTATTAAGGATGCCGCTTCTAATACAGATTTTACAGTAACATTTAAAGATATAGTGCCCTCTGTTGTGGGGAGGGGGGGGGGTTATGATAATTTGTGATCTCCTGTTAAGGCGTTGCAATGAAGACTGTTCAGTTCAATAAAATGCAATGAACCAAATGATGTAGTCTACAATCTGCCAACTTTGCTATACCCTGCAAGATGCATGATTTTTCATTTGGTTGAGTTTACCAGCAGTGTCCAAGTATGAAAAATAACATTTCGCTGAAGACTGCCCTCTGCAAAAATTGTATTAAAATAAGCTTGCTGCAAGTACAATGTGTGGGGTTGTATAAATTACAATGAGTTGTGGAAAACTAATATTCTAATATAAGAACACTTTACAATTAAAAAAAAAGTCATTAAAACATGGAATGCTTTGCAATGGAATTATAATAGCAAAAATGCTTTATTATATTGCTGCGTAATACAGAGCAGTGTGACTGCATTCTCATGTCGGGAAGTTTGAAATGAAAGCATTGAGTTGAAATCACCAAAATGGTATGCAGTTATTTCAGTGTTTTACCAGTAATAAAGTCGAATATTTTCACTGTAGGGCAAAATCAGCGACAATAAAATCCAGTGAAAATGTTCATTTCCCTATGGTCTTCATGTAGTTTATGACAAATTGGTGAAAATAGAATTGCATGTGTCAATCCAATTACTAGTAGCAGTTTTCAGAGAAAATAAATTCCAACTCAAATAAAGTAAAGTATTCACAATATTTTCAATTTATCATGATTTTACATATCACTTTCCATTCCAGTCTTCTTTTCCATGAATAACACCCAACAGACCTAATTTAGAAATGGCCGCCGAGATCTCATCGAGAGTGAGAGTGTCACACAAGTTGTTTTTGCCCCATAAAATAGTGTTCATCCTCTATCGTCATTGTCTCCACTGTTACACGTAGCTATAGCATCCATGGTACTGTATTTGCTCAATTAGAAGTGTGTATGAACTCAATAATAAGATTGGCTGTATACTGAATCATTGAAATATTACTTATTTCAACCATAGAAATACTTAATCTACAATTTACCTAAACATATACGCCACTAATAGAGCAGATTTCTGAAACAGTGCACGTGATAGTAACAGAGAATATTATTTATTAACATTATTTAGGGGCAAAAATAAGTCATGTGACTTTCTCACTCAACAAAATAATAGTGGTCATTTATCAATATGGTTTATTATTATCTACAAAATTACCTAAAACCTGAGCAATAATGTTTTTATATCGGTAATCGCAGCTGGATGTACAGGTGGCAACAATTAGCAATTAATTATAACAAGTAAAATCAAATTAATATATACATTTACACTTATAATATTCATCTAAATTGAAACATTAAAAAAATAATGCACCATATATATCTACAGTGATGTTGTTTGTCATGTTTTGATTGGTACATTAAGTAGACTGGGAGTTGACTGTGTCTTGGTGTCTGGGAATAATGTTTGCTCTGCTTTAGTAGTCCAAAATTCAAACAATTTCAACTATGAAAAGTAAGAATTTGAGATCTTGATTATTTCAGTGTCTGAGTGAAATTTGAATAGTGAAGCCAGAAAACTTATTTGATTATTGGTAAAAGCAGATTTGGTTTCACAAAATTGAGTTTGAATTTTTCATTTTCATGTGACACTGCACCAAAATGACATAACAATAAGATTCTCACTATGCAGATATTATATGGAAATTACCATGTGTACAGAGAAATACAACACTGGACATTATGAATAACGTATGCAAACAAATTCAAACAGTAAACAAAGTTTGCTAGTATGAGTACAAAGTTAAAAAATATACTTGAATCAGTGTTTCAAAAGTGCACAGAATTGCTGTACTGTACTCACATGGCAAAAAAGAAATACACACATATATATATATACTACAAAACACCACAATCTGTCTTGAAGACAGGAATGAGAAAATGATCAAAAATACAAATTATCTTAATTTACACACACACAAAAAAAAATATTTTATTGCTAAATTATTTTTCACTGAAGGTGACACCAGGTACATGTATGTCTTATCGTCATAGTAACATCCAAGTGATGTATACTGACATGATGTTGTTATCGTCAGAGCCTTTAGAATGACGTTCATATAATATTGGCAGACATGGTTGCTAAATGACGCTTAAAAACATCACCTATCACATGTACATAAAAGAATTTATACTAAAGAACACCAATGCTATAAAAACAAAAGTACTGACATTAGTTGACACTGAGGGCAGTCCACACAATATACATTTAGTAAATAACTTCTATCTCTTCATATATATTTTTATTTCTTTTGTGAATGAAGGGAGGACTATCAATCAAGGTGGGTTTGTTGTGACGTGCAAGATACTTAATACTGATTCAAAACAAATTATAGCAGTAAATAATCACTGCAAACTCAATATTGAAAGCGACATGCATGATGAAATTTCACACTGTGGGTCATAGTGAGTATTCTCAATTTGTTGAAGTTCGACATAATATGTTTGGAGGGGCAAAAAGGGGTTTTGTGTAGCTGACAAAATATAATTTTTGTGGTCGCATTTTTATTTAAATTATAAAATGTTAATGTCAAAAATTTTGTGTATTTAAGCTGTGTAGCTGACAAAATTCAATTTTTGTGGTAACATTTTCATTTAAATAAAAAATTGTTGATGACAAAACTTTTATTGTGTATTAAAGCCTAGTGCATTAAACATTTCAACCAAGCGAAGAAAATATTGTTTGAGTTTGGATCCTAATATGAAACATACATTTTAAATTTAAAGTTACCGATACCCCATTATTATATGAGAAAGGAGAACAATGTCTGGTTCTACATGAAATATCTTTTGTTTTTGATGTACATTGACAAATTGAGAAGACCCCTTATGTAAAGGACTGCAGCATACACAAACAACTTGCTCATTAACTATCCACACTTCAAGATTCACAATTATTTAGAAACTCAAGACTGCCAGTAATACTGAAACTTAACCCTCACACCAACTACACAACTGTACATGTATTTCAGATCAATTTAAATATCCGTTAGAGAGCCAGATTTATATTCGGTCAATGTAGCAAAACCAGCATGCACTTAAAAATAAAGTCTGTCACAGATGAGGTTACACATGGCCTAACACCTTTGGTAACACATCATCATGGCATCTATATGTGATATAATAAAAGCTGTAATCTAATCAGTTTTCAATCCATATAATCTGACCCTAATCTGACCCCCATCATGGCAGTTTTTCTGTTTTAAAAACTTGATATATATATATACACATTGGTACATCTCACCATTTAAAATTGATCACCTGAAATGTCAATAACAAGCAGATAAATACTACCAGTCCTACTGACATACAGGAATTCATGCAACAGGTCATTTTACAAGATTATAAATGGTTTTGGTAGATGTCATTTTCTTCCTTCAAAAGCATAGTGTGTCTGATGCGCTGAAACAAATTTAAAAATAAAAATGTATTTAAAACTTCATTTTTCATAAACTATGTAGAGATCACAGTCACAGAAATGCTTACTGCAACAGAATTAGTTAAAACAGAGATATAGTAGTATAGTCAAAATGTGAGATTGCAGGCAGTCAACCATCTTTGATTCGATTGTGACACTAATTGTCATGGACATGTATCCTGGTAAATAGTATTGAACAAATCATGGCACGTTTATTTTTTCCCCGAGCCAAACTTGAAAAATAAATACAATTTGATTTGATATCTAGATTCCAAAACCTAGCTAGTTTTGGATAAAATCACTTAGTCAATTTGGTTTTCCATATTATGAGGAAGCATTTCTCCCCATGGCACAAACATGTGAAATATTACACTGCACATATCAAAGCTTGTTTCTAGCCCCACCCTCGTAAACTAAAAAATTAATATAATTTGATCATACCTAAGAAAAATCTTCCATAATCTAAAGCTAACTTTTTGTAAAATCACTCAAATTCAATTTGTTTTTCCATATTTCTTATGATTGATCAATGATTATACTCACATTTATAGAAAACTGTAATAAACCTGACTTTAGGAAGTAGTTCTTTGACTTTATCCATGACAGTAGCATCATTAGATACTGTAGCATTGACATTCCAGATTTGTACAATATCATCCCTCTCTCGGATACTCACACTAAGTCCACATATATCATCACCTGCAAAAAGTATACAATAAACACATTTCAGACATAGCAGTGTCACAAGTTGTTAGAATTTATAAATCACTTTACTTTTGAGAGAGAAATCTTGCAAATTGTGTGAGTATAGGAACATTTTTGCAGGCAATTTTTCACTGCGGTCCTTAAGACGCTCAGTGACTTTCATTTTGGTATTAAAGACAGTTAATGACTTTCATCGAGGTCCTTAAAACACTAAATAACTTTCACTAAGGTATTAAGACACTCAATGACTTTCACTGGGGTATTAAGACAGTCAATGACTTTCACTGGGGGTATTAAGACAGTCAATGACTTTCACTGGGGTATTAAGCCAGTCAATGACTTTCACTGGGGTATTAAGACAGTCAATGACTTTTACAAAATTGTTCCCTCACCAGTTGATATGACGTTAGTGACACACAGTAATTTCTCATGATAAAACTTACTAAGCTCATTCCCTGGCACACCAATGGTGCAACAAAAAATCATACATTGACGTAGTACACACCTTACAAGCATTAAAACAAAGGAAATCAAGTGCCTTTGTTAATTCGTGCATTCAGAAGTTTGTACAGCCACAAATATGTACAACATTTTTTTCTTGAATATCTCCCACCCTAGAGGTCACCAAGGTGACCTCAACTTCATTTTTTAAATTCTATTGTGACTCTAGACCCTGTTAGAATGAACACTGACCCTCATAACCATCCTTACCATCAAATCATGAAAATTTCCCAGCAGTGAAAATTAACCGCACACACACCAATGCATACCAAAAGTGAATAAATGACAACATTGTAGACTGAAACATGCTTTGGAAACCCTCCAATAAAATATTATAGGTGTAAGTTACACATTTCATAAACAACATTGTTGAAATGTTTATTTGACAGCATTATACCTTGGGGATGTCATAGAACTGAGTCACTGAAGTTTTCAAATAATATAGAGGAGAAAAGGTCAGCTTGTGTTGTCCACCTTATAGTCATTTAATCACAATTATTACGTTAATACTAGCGTTAGTGGAATTCATTGATCATTGAAATTTATGAACTGTTCATGATTTCAATGTAGGCACACAATCTGAATAAAGCACCAATAATAAGTACCGTAATTTGTACAATGACTGCTGTGAATTTGCCAATTCTAGAATCCCCAAGTATATGCACTGTTATAACCTGGTTATGACATGGTGCATAAGATCAAAGTACTAACAAATATGCGACATGTTAAGCTACGCATATTTACAACAATATTTCAATATTGGTTGAAACTCCACAATTCAGTACAGCTGTGGTAAAAATTAGATAAATCATGGTCACGTGATGATTACAGAGCATACAACCATCGTAATCATCATCTGACCCTGATTTAACTAGTATATAGACATTTAACGTTCAATGTTCCCTATTATGCAGTTACAACATGACTTGTCCTATGCATAGATTCGATGTCAGCAAATTACTACCCCCTCCCCAAATAACATTAGTCAATGAAAAGAAGCTTATGACACAGATATCTATCGAACATTCGCATTTGGTATATGATGCAGATTACAACATAAATCAAGGGCTTTCAATTCATTATAATACAATACAATTTTAAAAGATGCATTGGGTATATATGTATTTCTGAAAAACTAATGTTTTTAAAATAAGATTTGAGTGGCTTCAATATGATTCCTGCAGGATAGTCACTTCTTGTTCTTACAGAACTTCAACAGGATACAGGTATTCCAATTTAAACATGTTCTAAAATCATAAAGGAGATGGATTCTTATTGGAATCCAATATAATCATTTTGTATAACTAAAAATTCATTGACTTAGCTGAATTCACGGGGAATTCAGAAGATATTCAGTTTGGATCAATACTTACAATGTAGCTGTTTGACCAATGTCTAAATTATACTTTTTAGAACATTCTATGCAAAACTAGAATGCTAAAGTGACAGCAATTACACATGGTTAACTTAAGAGTTCCACATTCAACACACTGTTACATATTTAATATTGTTTGTTTATTTACTTACCGGGTAGTATAACAATACTTACTTATTTCATTATTCATTTAATTATATTTATTCACTAACTCATTTATTTAATAATTAATCATCTCCCCAAGCCATTATGGAGTATTGAAGTAAAGTAGATGTGTACATGTATTACGAGGGGTGTTCAATAAGTAATGCCCCTGACCTACTTCCAGTTGTCTGATCTAGATGAAATTTTGCATGTGTAATGATTTACATCTCTATGGGTCACTGTAAAATATGTTGAAAAAGTTATCAGTTATCACCTCCGTAAAAAGAAAAACTGTCAAGTGTAATTTGATTCTGATTCATCAGAGATTTGAAAAAGCCCATATCGTTGCTGCGTTACATCTAGAACATTGACCTTTCATATTGGGACTCAAAGATTTCCGTAATAATATATCAGTATCACTTCATTTATTTATTTTCATTGAAATAATGACTACAATTAATATTTTTATTTTTTTGTGTTAATTTACTTTTCAACAAGTCATTGAAAATGACACAGTCCCTGTTAAATTTTTGAAAGTTCTCTCTGTGCTCATCATATTAAAAGGGGAGGGGTTGTCGCCAGCGTGTCCTTGAAACTTGAGTCCCAATTGGCGTATACAACAGAATCTTTATTTACATCAACTTCGAACACGTGTTGCGTGACGACCCCTCCGGTTTAAGACATAGCAAAGAAAAACATAGATCACAAGTGAAAGCAAGTTATCACATTTTAAACAAACAAGATGGCCACCAGTCGGCCATATCTGATCAAATTGCAAATTGAATTGACATGTGCATGTATCCTTTTATAACATAATAAATATCAATGAAAATGATACATGGGTGACAGATATATAGTAATATGGCCAAAAATAAAAACAGCCGTTATTCGGGCATCTTTGATCTGATTATGAAACTTGACATGTATGATGTATGTGCCAAATATGAATGAAAATGCTACATAAATCTTGGAAATACAGTAGTAAGGCCAAAAATTCAGATGGCTGTCAATCAGCCATCCTTGATCCGATTTTGAAACAAATTGTCATGGACATGTATAACATGTATAATCTATGTACGGTACTAAATTTGAATGAAAACTGACAAAGCATGTCCAAAATACGACATTTAAAAAAAAACAAGATGGCTGCCAGTCGGCCATTTTGAATCAAATCGCTAAACCACTGCATGTGCATATGTCCCACATAAAGTACTAGGCACATGCAAAGAATGAACAAAATCGATCCAAAGGATTCTGAAATATGACTCCGGACGGACGGAGACCAAATTATAAGTCCCCGTTCGGACGACTAATAAAATGTATTTACCAGGGTATCATGTCAGTACCTTTTTTTTGTGTTGTTTACAAAATGTGTGTCTGGAGAAAAAGACGTTTTGGGGTCGCCATTTTTAATTTATAATGAAGTCATTAGCTACATCTTAAATTAGCGAATTAGTTCTCTTGCTAAATTTGCTAAAAAGACATGCTCGCGAAAAAGACATGTTTTACAGTATGTTGCAAAAAACAGCTCTGCACTAATTGTTGTTTCTGATTTACAGGTGTTGGAACTGAGTCAGGTGTGAAATGGAGCCAGTTGAGTGTCGCGCAGTGATCTGTTTTTTGTATTTGAAAGGACGCACGCCAAAAGAAACTTTTGATGAAATGAAAGAAACTTATGGTGATGATGCCCCATCATATGATGCTGGCATCTAGAATTCAAACATGGCTGGAAGTCTGTGGAAACAGCTTCCGGACCTGGTCATCCCTCTTCAGCCATTGATGAGGCATCTGTCCGTAAGTTGAGGCAGCCATTTTTGAAGATCAACGCATTACTGTTCGCCAAATAGACCAAGAGGTCAAGATTAGCACAGGGTCTGTGGAAACTATCATTCATGACCATTTGCATATGCATAAGGTGTCTGCCAGATGGATTTCCAGGTTGCCCACACCTTTCCAGAAGCAAGAACGTGACTGCTCGAGGATGAATTTGGAGCTGTGCCAAGAAGATGAGTCTAAGTTTTTCAAAAGACTGATTACACAGGATGCAACTTGGGCCTATCACTATGATCCAGAGACCAAAGCCCAGTCAATGCAGTGGAAGCACTTGGACTCGCCTCCTCCAAAAAAGGCAAGGGTGCAGCCCTCCGCTGGCAAGGTCATGCTCACAGTCTTCTGGGACAAAGACGGAGTAGTGATGACAGATTTCCTGGCAAATGGTACCACTATCAAGCTATCAAAATCAAGAGGCGGGGAAAGATCAGCAAAGGTATTCTCCTCCTGCAGGACAACGCTCCGGTTCACAACTCACATCTCGCCAGATCAGAAGCACGGGCGCGTGTGGCTATGAAATCCTCCCCCATCCCCCTTACTCTCCTGACCTTGCATCCTCTGACTATCAACTCTTCCCAGCGATGAAGTTGTTTTTAAAAGGAAAGCATTTCCCAAATGATGCAGCCTTGAAGTTACGACGTGGTTGGAGGACCAACCTGGGGTGTTCTAGAGAAATGGTGTCCAGAGCTGCATCAAACGATGGAAAAAATGCATAACTCTGGATAGTTCCTACATTGTATGTAGAGAAAGACTAATAACTGTGCCAAGTTTCATTAATCTCCTGCTATGGGAAATGGGTCAGGGGCATTACTTATTGAATCTCTCGTACACTAGAACTGTAAGTTTAATTTTCACTGCTAGAAATGTTTATGATTTCAAGATTGTTCATTTGTAAATACAACAATTTGTGAAAGTCACTAAGACTCAAGAGAAATTTTCCCTGCTACAAAATTTTCCAAAATTGTTTCTTGGTAAATTAAAGTCATTTACAGAAGAAACTTAGTTTCACACTCTTACACAATGAGATTGACAGACCATATTAGATTCAAGAGCAATTTTGTATTTTTTATATTGAAAAGTTGGTTAATTGTTGAGTTATTCACCCTAGAGTTAGAATACTTTCTGATACAGTTGTTTCTGGCTACTTTAAAAGCTGGAAATATCAACCCATTATGCATTTCATCATCTGGATCACCTAGCATACACAGAGGACGAGTACCGGTACTATAAGAATGAGTTATCTGAAATCTGCTCTCACAGACTGGTAATTAGTGACACAACGATATCTGATACACATGTTTCCATGCCCAATGCTTTTATAATCCTGTTTTAAATATTCTAATTATACTAGTTTATTTGTCAATATATATTGTGTAGCCTATATTCTATATCATATGATAGCTTTTTATTAAATTTATCCTCATTAAATGGTGATGCTTTTCTGAAAGATAAAACAGTATTTCAGCTACCAACCTGTTCCAACATGATCAGAAAACTGTTCACCAATAGAAGCCAATAAAAGCTCTTTCCAAACAGTGGACTAAACAAAAAAAAAAAAAAAAAAAATCAGTCAGTTGAGCATACTAGTGAAAATTTTGTGAAATCTATGAATATTATACATTCAAATTGTGCAAATAGAAAAGAGCCTTTTACATAGAGATAGACTATTAATTTATGAATGAAAAAGAATGTCTTTGTTTAATTGTGGGGCAATTTGTCGATATTACTTGAAGATGGCAATAAATGATTGTTTTGCACCTTCACTACATCGAAAACACTAAACATACAATCATTGTGCAAATGAGTACCAAAATGGTATCCTCAGATGCTGACATCAGAAGTACACATGTAACTGTCATTTGACAAGGTTGAGACAATAGAATCACTTACAGAACAGTAAATATATTCCTACAACTTGCAAGGTAAATGAGATTGACCTTGATGTGCAAAGCATGTAGCCATGCAGCTGAAACTGACAACTTGGTCATATTTAATACAGTCTACAACTCAACTGTCTGATTCAATCCTTCTCAATTGTATTCAATGAGGCAGAATTACAATGCTAAGTCAACTCTTGTCATCACTCGTGAAATAAACCTGCACAATTTTTGTTATGTCCATTTGCCCTAAAATTGCCTTCTGTCAATATGTCATACACGTTTAGAAATCAAAAAAATCAACACAAATAAATCTAGTCAGAAATGCTAGCAAATTCTAATAACACAGATAGAGTATATAAAATGTACTGGTACGTCCTGAAATTTCAAAAATTATAGAAGACAAGATCATATAGCTTCATGATACAAACTAAGGACCACATGTATTTTCAGTATATTCTTATTGAGTTCCATACAGATACATGTCGGTATATAATAACTATTCAGATGTTTGCATAACCTGAAAATCCTAACACTAATTTTGTTATTTGGTATAATTATGTTTTTTATTTAGTTTTGGGTACAATATTCAAAGTTGTCATTTGATAGGTGTACGTATGTATATATTACAGTGTCTTCCTTGCCACATTTCATCTTCCAGTATCCACCATTTGCATTCACAGATTCTTCCCTGCAAATAACAAATACAAAATCTAATACATTGAACAGTGTAGGTTGAAGTATCACCATCGACTAATAGAACACGGAATAGTAATACCTGTTTTGATCTTAGTGCAATAATATTGATGGGACCCGATTTGTGATTTCTTATTCCAAAACAAAACAATACTAAATCTACCAAGTAAATTACTTGTATGCTACAGTATTCTACTGAAAATTGGTTCAAACTGAACTGAACTGAATGTTTATAATTTATATATATTTATGTATGAGGTAATCAAAATATGTTCTGTACTATCATTATATAACAGATAGAATGAAAGAGATCTTAATTAGTTCCAGTATAAATAAAAAAAATGTAAATGTGCATGTATTCATCTGTCTGGACTTGAATAAACATCTTGAATAAGCCTGCATTGATTATTTTCAAACTCCACATGTAAATGTGCACAGTATATCACAGATACCAGCATTGCTTTCTTGGTATGTCAACGAGTGTCAATTTAGCATGAAAACATGCACCCAAACCTAGCATTTTTACTTATACTACCGGGTACTTTGGAACTAATTCTCAAGCATGCATAAGTGAAATTCACACCAATACTCAATGTAGCTGTATGTATCCCCAATATGTTTGCTCCCATGAATTATATTTGGATGTAGATTCCTATCATGGAATATCAATCATTGCAGAACCAATCTAATAATCCAGCTTTTGAGCCATAAATACTTAAATACATGATTCTCCAGTACACTGATGTTTTTATCCGAGATGACGTACCATAGCGGCTTTCTTTCATCTCTCATTAAATGGTAACTGTATCTGACAGGTACTTCCTGGATATCAGGAATATTATTATACACACTCCAAAAACTCTGCAAAAAATTACAAAAAGTTATTGTTGTTGTTGCTACAATGATTAGTATAGGGTTGGTGTTAAGGGCAACAATAAATGGCTGGAGATTTAACTGCATGGTCAGTATGAGACTAGTGTGGCTGCTGTGATCAGTATGAGACTAATGTGGCTGCTGTGGTCAGTATGGACTAGTGTGCCTGCAGTGGTGAGTATGGGACTAGTGTGGCTGCTGTTGTCAGTATGAGACTAGTGTAGCTGCTGTGGTCAGTATGGGACTAGTGTGGCTGCTGTGGTCAGTATGGGGCTAGTGTGGCTGCTATTGTCAGCATGGGACTAGTGTGGCTGCTGTGGTGAGTATGGGGCTAGTGTGGTTGCTGTTGTCAGTATGGGACTAGTGTGGCTGCTATTGTCAGTATGGGACTAGTGTGGCTGCTGTGATCAGTATGGGACTAATGTGGCTGCTGTGGTCAGTATGGACTAGTGTGCCTGCAGTGGTGAGTATGGAACTAGTGTGGCTGCTGTTGTCAGTATGAGACTAGTGTAGCTGCTGTGGTCAGTATGGGGCTAGTGTGGCTGCTATTGTCAGCATGGGACTAGTGTGGCTGCTGTGGTGAGTATAGGGTTGGTGTTAAGGGCAACAATAAATGGCTGGAGATTTAACAGCATGGTCAGTATGAGACTATTGTGGCTGCTGTGATCAGTAAGAGAACAGTGTGGCTGCTGTGATCAGTATGGGACTAATGTGGCTGCTGTGGTCAGTATGGACTAGTGTGCCTGCAGTGGTGAGTATGGAACTAGTGTGGCTGCTGTTGTCAGTATGAGACTAGTGTAGCTGCTGTGGTCAGTATGGGGCTAGTGTGGCTGCTATTGTCAGCATGGGACTAGTGTGGCTGCTGTGGTGAGTATAGGGTTGGTGTTAAGGGCAACAATAAATGGCTGGAGATTTAACAGCATGGTCAGTATGAGACTATTGTGGCTGCTGTGATCAGTAAGAGAACAGTGTGGCTGCTGTGATCAGTATGGGACTAATGTGGCTGCTGTGGTCAGTATGGACTAGTGTGCCTGCAGTGGTGAGTATGGGACTAGTGTGGCTGCTGTTGTCAGTATGAGACTAGTGTAGCTGCTATGGTCAGTATGGGGCTAGTGTGGCTGCTATTGTCAGCATGGGACTAGTGTGGCTGCTGTTGTCAGTATGGGACTAGTGTGGCTGCTGTGGTCATCATGGAACGAGTGTGACTGCTGTTGTCAGTATTGGACTAGTATGGCTGCTATTGTCAGTATGGGACTAATGTGGCTGCTGTGGTCAGTGTGGGACTAGTGTGGCTGCTGTTGTCAGTATGGGACTAGTGTGGCTACTGTGATCAGTATGGGATTAGTGTGGCTGCTGTGGTCATTAAGGGACTAGTGTGGCTGCTGTTGTCAGTATGGGACTAGTGTGGCTGCTGTTGTCGGTATGGGACTAGTCTGGCTACTGTGGTCGTTATGGGATTAGTGTGGCTGCTGTGGTCAGTATGGGACTAGTGTGGCTGCTGTTGTCAGTATGGGACTAGTGTGGCTGCTGTTGTCAGTATGGGACTAGTCTGGCTACTGTGGTCAGTATGGGATTAGTGTGGCTGATGTGGTCATCATGGAACTAGTGTGACTGCTGTTACCAGTATGGGACTAGTGTGGCTGCTATTGTCAGTATGGACTAGAGTGGCTGTTGTCAATATGGGACTAGTGTGGCTGCTGTTGTCAGTATGTGACTAGTGTGGCTGCTATTGTCAGCATGGAACTAGTGTGGCTTCTGTGGTCAGTATGGCACTAGTGTGGCTGCTATTGTCAGTGTGGACTAGAGTGGCTGTTGTCAATATGGGACTAGTGTGGCTGCTGTTGTCAGTATGTGACTAGTGTGGCTGCTATTGTCAGTATGGGACTAGTGTGGCTACTGTTGTCAGTATGGGACAAATGTGGCTGCTGTGGTCAATATGGGACTAGTATGGTTGCAGTTGTCAGTATGGGACTAGTGTGGCTGCTGTGGTGAGTATGGGACTAAAGTGGCTGCTATTGTAAGTATGGAACTAGTGTGGCTGGTGTGGTCAGTATGGGACTAGTGCGGCTGCTGTTGTCAGTATGGGGCTAGTGTGGCTGCTATTGTCAGTATGGGGCTAGTGTGGCTGCTATTGTCAGCATGGAACTAGTCTGGCTGCTGTGGTCAGTATGGCACTAGTGTGGCTGCTGTGATCAGTATGAGACTAGTATGGTTGCTATTGTCAGTATGGGACTAGTGTGGCTGCTGTTGTCAGTATGGGACTAGTGTGGCGGCTGTGGTCATCATGGAACTAGTGTGACTGCTGTTGTCAGTATGGCACTAGTCTGGCTGCTGTGGTAGGTATGTGACTAATGTTACTAATGTGGCTGCCATGGTCAATATGGAACTAGTGTGGCTGCTGTGGTCAGTATGGGACTAGTGTGGCTGCTGTTGTCAGTATGGGACTAGTGTGGCTGCTGTGGTGAGTATAGAACTAGTGTGGTTGCTGTTGTCAGTATGGGACTAGTGTGGCTGATGTTGTCAGTATGGGGCTAGTGTGGCTGCTATTGTCAGCATGGAACTAGTGTGGCTGCTGTGGTCAGTATGGCACTAGTGTGGCTGCTGTGGACAGTATGAGACTAGTATGGTTGCTATTGTCAGTATGGGACTAGTGTGGCTGCTGTTGTCAGTATGGGACTAGTGTGGCTGCTGTGGTCATCATGGAACTAGTGTGACTGCTGTTGTCAGTATTGGACTAGTATGGCTGCTATTGTCAGTATGGGACTAATGTGGCTGCTGTGGTCAGTGTGGGACTAGTGTGGCTGCTGTTGTCAGTATAGGACTAGTGTGGCTGCTGTGGTCAGTATGGGACTAGTGTGGCTGCTGTTGTCAGTATGGGACTAGTGTGGCTGCTGTTGTCAGTATGGGACTACTCTGGCTACTGTGGTCGTTATGGGATTAGTGTGGCTGTTGTGGTCAGTATGGGA